GGTTCCAGGTCACCTTTAATCTTCATCAGAGGTAACATGAACGCGCAGCGTTATATCCACGAAGTTCTAGAACCCCATCTTTTAAACTATCTTGACACCCTGGCAGATCCAACTTTCCAACAAGATAATGCCCGACCACATGTTGCAAGAGTCCCAATAGGCTTCTTTCAACATAATGATGTCACATTGTTACCATGGCCACCAAGATCTCCCGACTTATCCCCAATTGAGCACGTGTGGGATATGATGGGTAGGAGATTGCTCAATTTGCAACGTCCTCCTCAGACTCTAGAAGCACTTCGAGAGGAGTTGGTGGTTGCCTGGAATGAGATACCACAGGAGGACATTGACCACCTGATCAGAAGCATGCCTAGGCGCGTTGGAGAATGCGTAGCACATCAGGGTGCATCCACACATTATTAAAGGTCAAAGGGATTTAAAACAGTGCAATCATTTTGAAATTTTTATCATTTACTTATTATGCTTCATTAAGTACTTATACAAAATGTTATTAAAATAAAACCATTTAAACTGGGTGTTCGGATTTATATGTCACTTAGTGTAAGTTTACTTACTTATTCCACAAACATAACTAAGACTAATACACGTGTACGTAAACAAACTGGAAATACTTATAGAATAATGAATTCTTGTTTGTCAGGTGTTAAACTCAGTAGACTTCAAAACATCTTGTTATATCCTGGAAAAAGTATACTGACGAAAAAATGTAAACACCTAGGTATGTTTATCCGAGTTTAATAATTTTTGGCATATATATTCAGTGTCCCTTACTAGTAAAATGGTAAAATTTTCAGATTGATTCGTCAATTGACTGCAGAAGCTGGTTCAATAGTGTGCTGAGGATCTACGATTTCTTATACACTCATTGACATGCCTGGGCATTGTGCTAATAAGGTGATCCTGATGGAGTATCTCATTCCAAGCAACTGCAACTTCGTGAGTAAGAGCTGCTAAAGTCTGCGAGCCTACGACCTATCATTCCCCAGACATGTTCAATTGGACTTAGGTCAAGGTAAACGATGTTGATCCATGAAGGCTAACAATGCTCCGGCATGGACTTAGGTCAAGGTAAACGATGTTGATCCATGAAGGCTAACGATGCTCCGGCATCATGCGATCTGGCATTGTCTTGCTGAAAAATCGAGTTTTGGATGGTGTTTAGGCTCGAGTACTACTGAATCTGTCTCTCAAGGCTAGAAGTCTTAACCGGCGATGTTGTCGCTCTGTCCATTTTATCACTTGTTATTCAGGGCAAGATAAACCGATATCTAAAAAATTCTAGAATTCTAATAAACATAAACAAGTGTTTATATTTTTTGTCAGTCAGTATATTATACAGGGTGCTGCAGAGAGGACGGACGTTTTTGGGATGGGTAGTACTCTCCGCCTCCGCCTACGAGAGAGGTGGGGAGGGTGCCGTTCGACTCGTGAGATCCTAGCATTATTTTACCAGTTGTGGTTATGGAGCCTTGGATGGTGTAGCACCGCGTTTTCGCCTATGATTGTTTCGTCCGAACTGGTCAGTCAGTCATCGTCGTACAGGGTGAGTTTCGTCGTCACTTCAACATTCATCGGAATAGAGCTGTTCCCTCTCGAAACACCATCCTTCGTTGGGTTGAATCACTTCGCAGGCGTGGTGAACTGATCAACAGAATACCAAGAGGAGGGCCGCGAACAGTTCGAATTCCTCAAAATGTCGAACGCGTTCGACGGGTCTTTCTTCGCAGTCCGACTCGATCTGCCTAGAAACATGCTGCTACACTTCGCCTTAGTGATCGTTCGGTAAGACGAATTTTGCATAAAAATATCCGCTTTCACCCCTACAAATTGGCCAGTGTGCAACAGTTACAGCCCGGAGATTATGCACAACGAGTGAACTTCGCACGTGAGATGGAAGCACTGATCGATCGAAATGAGAACCTCATTTTGTTTATGAGTGACGAAGTCCACTTTCACCTAAACAGCATGGTTAACCAGCAGAATTGTCGTTATTGGGCTAATGAAAATCCGCAACAGTTACACGAAAGACCGGTGCACAGGCCAAAAGTAATGGTTTGGTGCGCTGTATCGCAAACTTGCATCATTGGCCCTTACTTCTTCGAAGACGGTAATGGTCGTGATGTTACCGTGAACTCAGAGATGTTCATTGGCCTCCTCGGTCCCCAGATTTATCCATATGCGATTTTTTCTTATAGGGACACCTCAAGGCTAGAGTATACGCGAACAAGCCCCGAACTCTGGACGAACTGAAGGGCGAAATTCGCGTGGAAGTCGCCCAAGTTGAGAGAGCGATGTTGGAGAGAGTCTACGCGAACTTCCAAGAACGCCTCCAACACTGCATCAACAATTTCGGGCACCACATGCCTGATGTGATTTTCCACACTTGACTGTCTCAAAAGCTATTTTCTTGTGAACCTGATTCCATCAATAAATTTGTTTTCGAGTACAAATGAACTATTTTATGAATTTTTTAAAACCGTCCATCCTCTTTGCCGTACATTATAACGTGTATGGATTCGAGTTGGATAGGAGGAGCTCTTTCTCTAAACTTGTCAACTTATTTTATGTTCTCAGCCAGTCCAGTTATCCAAACATAGAACAGACGCTTCGGTGCCGCAGTAAATATTGATTTTAGTTGTCTAGGCGGGTATCTTCAAACAATTTTCCATCCTAATTATTACGTTTTTACTCCTCAATTTCATAGTTAAATGAGCAGCCGTTGTGAATTTCCTTAGTTGTTTTCTCAACGTACAAAGTCTATATAACTTAGAGGCTGTATTTATCAGCATAGCTGATTAAAAACACTTGGCAGATCCCGATCCCGAGATTTCCCACGATTTGAATCGGAATGAAGGACTGAGAATGTAAAAGCTTGCCCCATTTCTTTCATCACTTTAATGACCAAGTGTAAATAATGATGAGGCAAACACTAAACGGTTCTTATAAATACTAAGTTTTTGATTGATATTCTTTTGTGATTGTCATTCCATCATTGTGATCTAATGTGTTAGGCATTCCTATACATACCTTCCCTCACCCTCATTAATATTATATTCACTCCGTGTTCGAGTTTATCAAGTATTGAAGGTTCAATTGTGACTTTCCATCAGTTCTCAGACTAAGACAGTTCCTTCAGCCCTCTCAATCTTGCCTACTGTATGAGGGTGGTCCCAGAAGTACCCGACCCAACGAAGAAAACACAAAATTTTTGTAAAGTAATGTATTTATTTTTCTACGTAATCTCCTTTGAGCTCTATAGACTTTTCCCAGCCATATTCAATAAGTTCGATATCCCTTTTATAATAAGAACTGTCTTACACCCCAAAATAGCCATTAACTGCCGACATCAGTTCTTCATCGTCGGAAAATCTTTGACCACTGATCGATTTTTTCAAGTTTGAAAACAGAAAATAATCCAAGGGGGCTAAATCTGGTGAATAGAGTGCATGAGGTAGCAATTCAAACTTTAATTCGTTAATTTTGGCCATTGCAATAACGGATTTGTGAGCGGGTGCATTGTCTTGATGAAACAACACTTTCTTCTTAACCAAATGCGGCCGATTTTGCTGGATTTCATCGCTCAAACGTTGCAATAAGTTCGCATAATACTCGGCGTTGATAGTTTTAGCTTTTTCAAGATAGTCAATGAAAATTATCCCATGCGCATCCCAAAAAACCGACGCCATAACCTTGCCTGCAGATGAAACGGTCTTCGCCTTCTTTGGAGCCGGTTGTCCCTTTTAGTCCATTATTTTGATTGTCCTTTTGTCTTGGGTGTGAAGTGATGGACCCTTGTTTCATCCACGGTTATGAAACGACGCAAAAATTCTGCTTTGTTGCTGTGAAGAACACTGTTTTTGCTCGATTGTGAGCAATCGCGGCACCCATCCTGCACACAGCTTTCTCATGTCCAAATTTTCAGATAATATCCGATGGACCGCACTTTTTGAAATGCCTACTATGTCTGCTAGCTCGCGCACTTTCAATCGGCGATCATTCAGAACCGCTTTATGAATTTGAATTTTCTTCACCATTTCTGGAGTCGACCGCGATGCTCGTCTTGGCAGCTCATACGGCCTCGTTTAAACTCTGCTACCCAATATTTTACTGTTGTAAACGGAGGAGCAGACTCGCCCAGAGTAGAATCCAGTTCAGCTTTTATATTGGTTGGACTGAGGCCTTTGAAATAAAAGTATTGTACCACATAAGGATGGCCAATTTTCTCCATTTTCACAAATTAACTGAAAACGTCAAGTATTGATGGCTGCCAAACAAATACTAAGCAACGTGGCGTATTCAAACTTGACACATATGCTTTATGGGTTACATACTTTCTAATACAATGATATTTTTCAAACAACTATCGCCGGGTACCTTTGGGACCACCCTCGTATTCTGATCCAGCAACAGCGTAGTACAATATTTGCTTCTCTCATAATCAAAGCAGTACTCAAGACAGTCTATTTGGTAAAAAATTCCTCGCAACATTTATTATTGTCACAAGTGTATTGAACTGTTATTTTTTCCAGATTTTCTGTCAAAAAAATATAAAATATTCTTTGTTTCAGGTATACTGTGAGAGAAACTTCGAAAAGGTAAGAAACACCTTATTTATATACATACGAATGGAAATAGAAAATGGTGAACTTTGTAATCACATTCAGAGAAGCTGTTATTACCTATACTGAATTATATCTTCTTACCCATTTTCTACGTGGTTATACGAGGGACGTCTTTTAAGTTTTGCATATGGACATAAAACAACACGGTAGGTAGTTTTAAATGACTTTGTTGTTTCTCGAAGTATTCTCCAAGAAGATTAATATACATCTGCATGCGCCTCGAACCAATTTTCGAAGAACTTACTCCACTCGTTTGCTGGCTGAACCAAAACGAAATTTTTGAATGCGTCAACTGCTTCTTCTGGTGGCTGGATCCTTTTACCACGCAGTCTGTTTGTAATTTTCGGGAAAGTAAAGAAATCGTTAGGACTTAGGTCGGGACTATATGGAGGATGGTCCAATAATTCCACGTTTTCTTCCGTTAAATACTGCCTTGTTTTTTGGGCTGTGTGCGAGCTTGCATTGTCTTGGTGGAGGATGATTCTTCTTTCGGGGTTGATTTTTCGAAGCTCGGTGATGACTTTTGGCAAACAAATGTTGGTATACCAATCCGCAGTAACAGCTCTTTGCTGATTAAGAGGAATTGTTGCAATATGACCCGCTTTTGACACAAATGTCGCAACCATTTCCGAAACACTTCGAGAACGGACGACTTTTGTTGGCTGTTCTTCATCTTGGAACACCCAAACAGCCGACTGTCGTTTATTTTCTGGTTCATAACAGTAAACCCACGATTCGTCACTACTAATAATACAGTACACATTTTTTGAGCTTTTTGGAAACGGTCAAGCGTTTTTTGACACCAATTAACCCTGGCTGCTTTCTGCTCTCCAGTCAACAGGTGGGGTATCCAACGAGAAACTAATTTTCTTACTCCTAATTCTTTATGTAAAATTTTTTGAATTGAGGTCTTTTAGATCCTCAAGGACGCCTCAATCTCGCGATATGTCACATGTCTATCTTCAATGATGAGTTTGCGCACAGCATCGACGTTTTTCTGGGTGACTGCCGTTTTAGGTGCACCCATCCTGGGATCGTCGCTAAGACTCACCCGTCCACGTTTGAATTTTCCATACCAACTGGGAATTATCGACTGACGTGGCGCTTCGTTTCCGAAAACAGACAGTAACTGAGCAAGGCATACTTTTCTAATGACTTGGTGACACTTAAAAATTCATTGTAGTGAGAACACTGCACGTATTGTTGTGAAACTTTGAATTTAGGTTTGCTAAAGAGTGAGGTTAAGATTCAGTACTGACGTTCGATTCGCGCGTCCTACTGTGTTTCTATATGCAAAACTCAAAGGACATCCCTCGTAACTACCGATCATCACAGGACGGACCGGCGATATTTTGTAAAATGGTACATCTAAACAGGTGGACAGTTCATGACCAACTCTTTGAGAACACGTACAGGGCTCGACCGGTTTGATCCACTTATACAGGGAGAGGAAGAGAAGTCAGTCACTTAGCAAAGTTTGGGGCTATGTCAGATTCTCGATTTTTGATCTTGGACATTTTCTTATGCATCTTTTTGACCTTTGGACTAAAAAAGTGATTTCTCAAATTTTTTAAAAGTTTTCTTAAGCTCAATTTATCGAATTTTGAAAAGGTGTTACATTTATCCTTAAAAGAGGGACTTTTTTGGGGTTTCTCTTGAGAATGGGTATTCATTCTCATACTATTGTATAAAGTGGAATTGCGTGCGCCCGAGAAAAGATTGAACGTCCAGCTATTAACATTATGTAATTCAAGTCGAAAGCTAGTTCTAATTCGGATAACAGATCAAAGAGATGCACAGAAAAGTTCTTAAGATCAAAAATCGAGAATCTGACATTGCTAAAAACAGACTTCCTTCGCGCACCCTGTATAGGAAAATGAATAAGAGAAATATACCTGTCGAACCTTGTACGTGTTTGTAAAGAGTTGGTAAAGAACCCTCCAACTACGGCAACTTGATATCTCTGTCGGTTCCGAATATATCGGGATTTGAATTTTGGTAAAATTTTCCATATTGCAAAGCAACTGTCCACCGGTTTATGTAGTTGGTATGAAAAAGAAGCAGTTTATCTCTTTTTTCCTAAGCAGTGAAGCATTATGGATTTTCCCTTCAATGACAGTGATAAACCGAATCACAGATTTGTGTTATTTGCATGATCTCTGGATTGCCTACAATTTATATAATGGCCATTGCCATGATTTCATCACTTACTATTTCATGATTAAGAAAATGTTTCCTACACCAATTTTCTCGCCAGTATAATATAGTCAAGCGTTAGTTGTTTAATTTGCTTGTATAATTTATTTCTGCATCCTGAAAATGGTAGCCAGTTTACTTTTTATAAATTGTATTTTGGCTGGGAAAGCGGGCCCAACTTACATTGGCTTCGTTTCTCAGTTTGGTATGTATTGTGTTTCAGAAAGGAACGAAACCTAGTAATGAAATTAATTTGAAGTACGTCTCATCATCAAGCTTTCTTATGCAAACAGCTATGCATTACCCAGTTTTGCCAGAATTCTCATCTCAAATTGTTGAATAATTTCTTTTCAAACTTTTTTCAAGTGTGCTGGCTGAATGTACTCTTGTAGCTCTCATTGTGGCAATATTTATTGTTCAGCACACTGTGCGGTGTCGATTCCCATCAAACTAATTTACTAAGGGCCGATTTCACCAACATTAATATTATGGACCAATAGGAAAATACCTTATCCAAATGCAATTTGACGGAAGCTGTCAAAGGTCTCAGAATATCAGTGATTTCTACTGAAATGTTGCCGGTTGCCTTATACATAAGGGTACATTATAGATGTAGATTTACACCCAATTCAGTATTGCCAACATTGCACACCAATACAAAAATGTCACCTGCTGAACATAGGCAGCAGCGGTGGCCGCAGTAGGAGACTCTTCGGTCTCCTGATCAGTCGCCGTGCGCTGTGCGGGTTCGAGTCCCGTCTCAGGAGACATTTTTTTCTTGGCTATGGATGTTGTGATTGTCCGTAGGTGGTAGACGGTGTCTGACTGTCGAACGTGGAGGTACCACCCGGCGGATCTCGTAGGCGGAGCCAGAATGTGTACATGTTGCATGCACACGTGTTTCTCGTCAGAGTCCGTGTGGCGTCCCCCCATTTCTCCTGTATCCCCCTATAGCCCCACGGTACCCAATGGGTGTTTAGGTCTTAGGCCTTTGTGGTAGTTGGAGTATAAAAAAAATCAAAATGTTGAATAAAATCGTGAAAATTCGACTGTATTATAAACAAGACCACTTTTTGATTCCAACATGATGCTTTTGTACAGAGAAAACAGGACAACTTTCATGTATTTTGATTTATGTTATAGGTGTACACTTGACCATCCGTTATCCCCTCAGCGAATGGGAATGGGAGAAATAATAGGTCGATTTTCTAGCTGTTAAATTTGGCAGCAGGTTTGGTCGTTTGTTAATTCATGGCAATCTCGAAATTTGTAAAGTTCAATATACTGTGTGAATATGCGATCACTATAGCTACACATACCTGTTGAATTGTGCGGATTTGCAAAAAAATAGAATATAAAATGTATTCCAACCAATTCCTCATCTCTCTTCACATCATAATAGTACTTATTTGTTATAAATTCATGGGTTAAAGAATTTCTTCAAAGCAATCAAAACAGTATGGTCGTCCCCATCCTAAAACGCCGATATTTGTAAAACATCCCTACATCTCCGAGGTGCATGATGCAATTACTGTAGACATAGACCTAAAATTATTAGTAATTAATGAAAAATAAGAGCTAAAAAGAATTATAAATAGTGATAAAATATTGGTGGTTAAGGTTTTTGACTGGTGGCTGGTGGGGATACAATATACAGATGGCGGCGATAAACGATACATTGATGTATCGAAAACATCGATACATCGGACGTAGAACATCGATCTTTACGCATCGATGGTTTCATGACGATATATCGATATCGAGAGGAATCATAAACATCCGTAACCGTATACCCTGAGTCTATCCTTAACTGTGCTACCATCTCTAAGCGAGGACATTGAAAGGCCAGAAAGCTATTTAGGTGTTTAGTAGTATTTGAATATTATCATTACAGACGAGCACTGAGTGGCCACTAGTCTTTTCTTCATTCTGTACTTCCCCAAGGGATAGAATAAAATAGACTGGAAACAGCGCGTTTAATGACTTTCAGTTCTCAGAGAAAGATTTTCCCCTGCCGGCCCTTGACATCGTTTCGAAATATGAAATTCTGGAAACGCTATGAAAATAAAAATGAATACACAAAGCCTACTTACCCATTTCAGACAAAAACAAAAACAACTGCCACATAACGATTGTCACCTTGACATCATTCTGCAATCTGTCAAAGTAGTGATGGGCGTGCCTGCTGCACGGTATACGGTATCGATATTCGATAACATATTTTTCTTTCTACCATGAATGCGTGGAAAAAACAAAATAAGGAGAGATCTAAAATAAGGAGTTATTGAAGGCCTAAAATAGCCAGGAGCTAATAATTCCTGGCCGTATTTGAATATCTAAGCAGGCACAGTAAAACAAAAATAAGACTTGGAATTAATAAAGTTTATTTCGACAGTTGGCAGAGTTTGCTCCACTGGGACGAAGTGTTGACAGATCCCACAGGATTATGCGTCACTTGTCCATATGGTTAGTTTTAAAATATCAGGAGATAATCAGATGTTATTCAAATCAGTGTATATGTTTTGTGATTCAAATAACGTCTAATATAAATATAACCCAGAATATCTGATCAGTGAAAAAACAAAAATATTGCAAATTTCTAGTTTTTCTGCAGGTTTTAGGTTTGCTGGTAGTTCTACGACATATATTTGGGTATTTCCTAATCGCTGTGAATATAATGTGGATGTTTGTTAAGTTCCTGAACAACGAAAAATATTCAACTTTATGGATGTATGGATATTAAAAAACCAGAATGGTTTTGTGGGAATATCAATCTAAGGTGCCATAATGGTTCTGATGAACGGCAAGTAAATGAATGAATGTTTGGAAACGAGCAATATCTATGCACTTTTCGGTAGAGCCAGTCATCAAGTAGGTGCTTAGTGGCTATCTGCAAGAGGTTTATAGGAAAAACCACCAAGCAGATGATCTTGAATCAGTAAAATAGCATATCAATTGAATAAAATGATATAAACATGAATAAAAAATCAACAATAGTAATTAACACGTTCGCTGCCAACTCGGTCTATAAGACCAAAATTGTGTTTTTTTTATTCGCCATCATGGTCCATAAGACCGAGAAGAAATTTTGCCAGCCTCGCCAACGCGGTCGATTAGACCGAGCCGAATATTCAATCCTCTTTCGCCAGCTGTTTAATTTTGCATTGGTTTAACGCTGGTAGTAGACCGAGTTGGCGTCTGAGGATTGTTGGCACATATCAGTTATGTAAAAAATTGATTGAATTTTAATATTTTGGTTATTTTATTTCTGGATATGGTAGGTTAGAGAAACAACAATAATTTACTTTATAAATCGTTTATTTTTGCAAAAATCTAGAACGAAAACCAGTAGTTTACATAATAATATACAAAAAACGTAAGAAAAGCACTTATTTCTATCTAAGGAGTTTCATATCTATGGAACTTATTAAAGCATGATAAGCAGAAAAACGGTTCACCATTACAACCTTTACAATAATAACGTCCTCTAGTGAGTTTTCGTGCTTCTTTCCATCCTTTCTCGGCTCTCACTTTTTCATAGCATCTACTGCAAGGTCTTCGTTTTTTATAATCACTTTTGCCCATTTCGTGCTTATGGCGTTTTCTTTTTGGAATCATCTCAACATCTGGTTGCTCTGCTAACCCATCGTCTTGCGCTTGACATAACTTGTATGTAACAGCTTTTCGAAATTGAAGTAAGGAAATTCTGGCATTCACAGTTTCCTTATACATAATCCATGCATTGACCATTCCAGTATTCAGGATAATCTCTACGGCTAACTTACGGTACCACTTAAAGGCTCTACGCAAAGGTGTCTGATAAGCTGTCATCTGATCAGAGACATCAAACGACGACTTTCCTGAGCTATATGCTACAATGGCTTCAGGCTTCTTTACAGTTTTTTGTCTGCGGTTTGTCGTGTCTACTGTTGTGTTGCTATGTTTGGTAGAAAGCATTAAAACGTTGCGTTTATCATTCCAGAAAATTACTGTGACACCGTCCTGATTTTGGAGAGCGGCTATCTCTCCACATTTAAGTTTTTTGTTGACCAGGTCTTTTGGAAGGCCTCGTCTGTTTTTTCGTAATGTGCCTATCAAATATGTTTGCCTATCCATCAATCTTTTTGCCAAATCTATACTTGTATACCAGTTGTCTGTTACAAGAGTGCGGCCCGAATCTAGTATAGGCTCAAAAAGACTCATAACTATAGATGTGGGTATAGTATGACCTTGGTCTAAATTTTTTCCTGCATAAATTTTAAAGTTATAGGTATATCCTCCTTTGCTGCACAATTTGAATACTTTTATTCAATACTTATGGCGCTTGTTTCTTATGTACTGTCGCATTATTAATCTTCCCCTTAATGGAATAAGGGACTCATCAATGCAACAAGTCTCGGAAGGTTCATATGATGTTTCAAAAATTATGTACTATTTTGTCAATCAAAGGTTGAATCTTATGCAGTCTATCATTATCTGGATTATACTGATTATCTGCAAAATGCAACATACGTAGCAACAGCTCAAATCTATTACGTGTCATTACTTTAGAAGCCATAGAGATTTTATACATAGTTTCTCGGCTCCAATAGGCTTGTATATTAGGCATTTTTACAATACCCATGTACGAAAGCAAGCCAAAAACTTTGTTGATTTCATTTTTATCTGTAGGGAACCAATTATGTAACCTAGATGTACCTTTTACATCTGCTTCATCTGTAATAACTTGCTTGGCATATAGATTCGTTTGGTCAGCAATGTATTGAAAAATATTAGTGAAAACTAAAACATTTCCAGAGGTTCTTCACGCCAAAGCTCAGCAAGATGGGGTTCAGTACCAGTTTGTTTGGTAAAGGGTAATAAAACTGGTTATCTACCTGTTGGAATACTCCATATCATATTATCCGAGGCGGCGCCGGCGTTACCAGCTAAATTGTCATCTGTGTCTGTGTTTGGCATAGGCGCGGAGGCAGCACTACTTCCTGGTAATGGAGAATTTGTACCAGAAGTAACGGATAACTCATCGTCATTGGTGTCTGCGGTTTGCGCAAGCATGGGGGAGGCAGTAGGGTTTGTATGGGAACTATCACATGATTCATCATCAATAGGTTTGTAGTTGCTGTCTGCGATACTATCGTCTGAAAAAAATAATAAATGCATGAAGGATTGTACGTTTTTGCAGTCTATATATTCTCGGAAACTTACAAGTCTATGCGATCGATCTACGAAATAAAGAATGTTTCTTACCGTCATCCTCTAATGCAGATGCTTCATCTGACAGATTTTGCATAATTCGCTCTATCTCTTCTTCTAACTCTTTCTGCGTCAAAGCACGATTTCTGGACATTGTAGAAACACAAACTACACTAAAAAATAACAACAATAACCGCCTATTCCGTCTGAAAGTGTGTACGTACTGAAATGCAATTAGAAAGACAATAGACACCACGTGCTGAATTGAAAAAACATGTCGATTGCGCAAAATCGCTGCGGACCGAGAAATGGACCGAGTTGGCGCATATGATAAAAAAAAGCTACTTCCACGCCGCCTCGGTCTGTTGGACCGAGTGACAAATTTGACAATTTTGAGATAAAAATGACACCTACAAAGAAACTAACTGCAGGTAATGTAGTCATAACTAATAAGTTTTGACTGGACAAAATGGCTCCTGGGGAACTTTTTTTTTTGTTTGGTCTTCTTTTTGTGGCTTTGGTGGCATAATCATAAATATTGCTAGGCAGCGAACGTGTTAAATCATGAATTTTATTCAAAAATCAAACATTTGTTTAAATTTTGACTGAATTATATGCAATTTCTTAATATGCAATAAGCTGATCATGTTTCAATGACAAGATGCCATCTCATACTTTGACAGTATTTTGTTTTCAACATTTCATAGCTATTGGTTGCTAAAATTTGTTGATTAGAACTTGAAGCTCATTAGCTGCATTTGACGGGCTGTTGGCCTATAGGTGGAGAATAACGGACTGTTTTTGGTGAAATTGGCTCTAAATTTATTACTCTGACGATTTGGCAAAATATTTCGGTTGAAGCTAAGTAATTACGGTTGACGTTGGGGTCCCGAATTTTAGTTTTGGGTATTTTTATTTCAAATTATTTCCACACATAGTCGCAGACCGATATTTTATTTCATTATATGTCCATCATTTCCATATACACATATCCCGATAAATTATATGGAAATATCGACATTGCTTGCCAATTCCAAATTGAATCACACGTATACAAAGTGCTGTGTATTGTTTTCTACCGTGGATTTATTCATAAAAAGCACAAATAACTATTATAATTGACAGCTATTTTATTGAGGATTGTTCATATAAGCCTATGAAAAATATAACAGTCTAAACTCTAAATAGTTCGAACAGGCGCATTTTGTTGATCAAATATAGAGTAACTTCATTGTAGCAGCACAAAGTATTGTTCGAAGAGTTGACAATGATGTAAAAATCAATCAAAAGATGAGTAAATGTCAGTCTTGATCTCAATCATTGTGGACAAAAACTTGATGACATAAGACTTGTTCGCAAACTCGCCTGCAGCTGATGGCAGGAGATTTAAACTTGGCCAAACTAGACGCGAGCCGACTTCACTCATCAACTCCCCCTCGATGTCTTGGACTTCATCAGAACAAAAAAAAGCTTGACAATAAGTTGATAGCTCAACAGATCTAAGCAATCTTCTAGACCAGTTATTCCAAAAAAACAATTAGTCAGTGGAAAGGTGATGGCCCTCGCGGAAGTAATAACTTCTGATGAGTTTTACGGTTATGCATCTCATGAGACTGCTAAATTTTATGAGGTTATAAGTGGAATAATTGACATTAAATATGAACTGAAGGCAACGCTCTCATCGACGCAAGTTTCAGGAATAATGAAACAATACATGGTTGACCTTGAATATGGACCAAGAACCCAGGCATATTTTTGATCAATATAAAAATTACGTCACTACTTTGTACGATAATCACAATGAAATCTGCTGAGGAAGTCCTTCAATAGCCGTATGTCATGGTGTAAATACAATTTATGCTGCTGTTTATGTGAGAAAAATAATGGAAAGCCAAGTGGTAATGATAGATAGATAGATAGATATTTTTTTTTATTCATAAGCCGAGTCATGGAGCTTTGTTAAAGTGAAGTATACTAGCTAGCTAAAATCAATTATAAAAGAAATATACAATCACAAAGGTTTTTATAAACTACCAAGAATGCATGTGCCTTCACAATCGTGAACAAAAACAATATATTCAATTACAACAAGTATCTATATAGTCAACGTTATCAATAAAATTACGTATTGAAGCAAAAATCATATAATATGTACCATGCAGCACAAAATATTCTGAATTAACTCTAGAGCAAGTTTATCCTTCTCCTCAAAAAAATCATTCAATGAGTAACATGCCTTAGAGATTAAATAATTAGCGATAACCTTTTTAACTTTGATTTACGGTAAATTACAAAGTTTAACAGTATATGAAGCATTTTTTTGCATAAAACTAAAGTTACACTTATGTGGGATAAGATCTTCTTTATGCCTAGTCATTTGATTAGGTTTATTTTTAATATCCTGGGACAGATCTCTGTTTTTAAGACCAAACATAAAAGCGTCCAATACATAAAGAGAAACAACAGTTAGAATTTAAATACTACTGATTTCTTTGCAGCTTTCCGTTTGACACTGTCAAAATCTTTTGACAAGTCAATACATACTGACACTGCTTCATTTTTATCATTTAGTGAGATTGAAATGCTAACCAGAGATTGATATTAAATAGCCCGCATGGTAGACTTATTTCTTCTGAGGCCGTTCTGGTGGTCTGAAATTAATGAATGACCTTCCAAAAAAAAATAAAAATAAAAAAAATTACCTTCTCGAAAATGTTTGAAAGAAGCGCTAATGGTCTGTAATTTTTTTCATATCAGCTTCACCTTTTTTATAAATAGCTTCTACTAGCGCATTTTTAGGTGATCTGCCAAGGTTCCATTATTGAAACGGAGATTTATAATAAAAGATAGAGGCTCTGCGATAGAGTCAGCAATTTCTTTTATGATTCTAACAGGTAAGTTGTCATCGCCCACTGATTTTTTATTTTCAAGAGACGTTATCACAATCGAGCTTTGTTCTTTATTAGATGTTAAAAAAATGGAATGTCAGTTATATTACGAAGCAACGAGCTTTACAATTCAAGCCAAAATAAATCTTGAAACATTCCATTCCCACACCGTGGAATCATATATCTGAAGGCTTATGCGTCAGCAGAACCATCGTGGACTCAGACGAATACCATCTTTGGACCATAACATACCTCAAATTCATTGTATCTATGCCATAGTCATGTCAGACTGCACGTGTGAATTACGAACATGCGAGACAACATGCCATCTTTGTTGAAACATATTCAGGCGCTTCTAGAGCAGACACATGTAGGATACGAACGAGTAATGATAATAATATGATAATAAACATGAAAACCACAAACTCATCTTAGAAGGCTTCGATAGTATCACCCTGTACCATTTCGTTTCTTTCGACAAGGGCAGTACGTAAACAATTCGATAAGGTCAAGAATGTCAGGATGATATTAAAGCCACTTACTTGGTGACGGAACGGCAACGAGTTATCCTCCTTTGGTAAGCGATAAGGGCGATATGAAAAAATGACATGATTACTTTCCATATTCAACCGACCCATAACTTGCACTATCTTAGGATTACACTAATTATCCCCAGTGGTACCAATTCGTTATTATTTATCCATGGTTTATCATATACTGATCCGCAGACGCCAAGAGCGGGGGCACACAGCCTCCTGGGACACACAGACTCTGGGACACACAGTCTATCATAGGCAATTGTGAGCACACAGCAACCTATGTGGATTCCCAGGCGTATAGACAGATATGCTGAGTTCAACGATTGTTACGAAAAGGAGTCCAGGATCCAGGATATCACGTTGGCCAACGGCCGTTGTCTCTATATCCAAAGACTCCGTCATTACCTGTTAATCAGAGATAAACGTGCAAGATGTCAAGCTTTAGAATAACAATCCCTACGCACATCCTGCGATGAGAAACATTCAGCTGCCAGCAATTACCAAGAGAAGATGGTTAAGCGGTCATTCAGATCTAGGATGCCACTTCGGCCAAAGGCCATCGTGTCAACATCCCAAGCGCTCCGAGCTTTCCCCTGATAGAGAAAACCGAGCAGTATTTAACATAACCACCTAAACCCAGCATTCGGGTTCCGAAAGTTCCAAAACAACCTCCAGAGACCGGAGGCGTCACCCCTGTATGAGCCACCTAGTTTCCATATCGTTATCCGCAATTATTGGGTCCGTAAACCATTAATAGAAATATGGATATATGCTCAAAGCATCTTTATAAAAGTGGATATATGATCAGAGCCTCTTTATAAATATGGATATATGATCAAAGCATGCTTATAAATATGAATATATTATGCTCAAAGCATCTTCAGGTAACCAAAAAACTAAATCCAATAGCACATCAACACTGTAATTAGGTCCACAATACGCACTACTTGGTTTGAGAAACAATGACTATTTGAACTGTGATGCGAGCCACGCCTGCGTTTTCAAGAATATTCCCAGAGAAGGAATAGAATGTACAACGTAAACAGGCTTAAGGGCCATCGTGACACTAACCAGACTTGTGAACCCTCTCAAAACAGTACAAGGGTTGAACCAGCATGCAAAAATGTGTTTGAGATATTTCGTAAGCTTACACACATACAGACTGTAACAAAAGTTTGAAACTCATCGAATATCTGACCAATGATTCATCTATTTTTTTTTTAAAATTGGTAGGCTTAGTTTCAAGACCGTAACAGATCCCTTAATGATATCCACGATGTTGCCATATCTACAGTTTTTCAGAAAATTTTGTTTTTCTTATGGAATACTATACGAGCCCCTTCCCACTTCAGTTGGCCCACTTCAAGATTTGTACCAAAACATGCCTTTATCAACTAAACATGACGAAACTATTTACTTCTAAAACAATTTATTTTCTCAAAAACATTTTAGATACACTCTAGTCGTAAAAAATACATATTTGCAATCACTTAGACCTGTAAATAATAGTACATCTGAACAAATAAACAATGTGCGAATAAGTGCGCGAAGTTAGCAAAGCAACAATTGAAAGATTACCATTGGATAACATAACCTTTATTTTTTATTACGGCTGAAATTCATTGGGGCATAGTGTTAACCAAGTTTTGGCAAACATTTGGTGTAAAACAATCGCATATTTCTTGAAGCTTTTGTCTCAGTTCGGTGATTGTACGAGCAGGACGCTGTCGTAGAACCTTTTTCATCCCGTGCCACAAATTTTCAATAGGTGACAGATCTGACTGCGAGAAACCCATTTCGAAAGTGGCACATTATTTTCTTCCATCAATTTTATAGCCTTTTTTGAGGTATGGCACGCTGTACCATCTTGCTGAAACACAAAATCTTGTCCGGATGTCAAACATTCTTCCATCACTGGTAAAAGCGATTCTTCTAAAGTTGCCAAAAATTTGTTTGTATCCACATTTCCATCAATAAAATAAAGTTTTCCTACTCCTTTTGATGACATACTACCCCAGACCATAATAGATGCTGAAAATTTCACTTTTCTCTTCAGACAGTCAGTATGGAATGCTTCATTTTTTTGCGAATAACTCTACTGCGACTGCCACCAACACAAACTTGGAATCGGGCCTCATTACTCCATTGTATTGCACACCATTGTTGAGGTGTCCATTGTCTATGTTCTTTAGCCCATCTAAGCCGATTTTTCTTTTGCAGTGGAGTTAATAGTGGCTTTTCTTTGGCCTATAAACAAGTTGTGCAACTTTAGGGTTTTTACTTCACTTTTTATTATAAGAAAACTTACCTTGCAAGTGCTAAATCCCAGTTTGTGGGCCTCTCTATGAGTTGTGGACCTCGAAATTATCCTTCCAACAGCGTTACTCCACAGAGCACTTAATTGTTAATAATTGGCATGTCTGTTTTTCACGATTATTCTTCTTAATGCTCTTCGGTCGGCATTTGTGATATTATTTATTTCACCTATCGTGAATATCTTCCAACAATATTTCTCACACTGTACCGCGATAAGTCTAACAAAGTTGCAATTTCTGAGTTTGATTTCCCATAATTAAGAAAATTAATTATCAGTAACTGAATTTTCTCAATAATAACCCTTCCTCTACCCATTTTGAAAACTTTAACTACCCAAAGCTATTTTAAACGTATTCTGAAAGCTGTGATTACTAAAAACAATTATCATGGCTTTTATTTTTCACAGCCACCTATGCGTTGTCGACTTATTTTGCATTGAAATGAAAATAGGTTGATATGCTGTAATTGCAACATGTGTTATTTTTATGCTGCAAAATTTATTAGGGAGTGATAAAGTTAGTATTTTCTACTATATATTATCAAAATATTCATTGTTAATATTTTAAACCTATAACACCCTGCTACATTTTTATTATTTGTGTTTGATAAGAAAAAAAGAAAAGATTTCAATAGTTGGGCCAACTGAAATGGGAAGGGGCTCGTAATTTACCTAATGTAGTCAAACGTAGTCTTTGAAGTTGAGTCATTAATTTTCAGATAATGATTGTAGAAGGAAGATAAACCAAAATATGTGTGTAAAAATAAAAAAAAAATATTACCTTGTTTTATAAAGTATCCTTCCGACAAGTATTTCAGTGCGGACCTGTATTTGATCGTGCGGTCTTGGAGCACCGGCATGCCCTCCCCTGTGAGGTCTTAAGTCACCTGATTCACCAGCCCTTTGTACTACATTAACAAAGGCACGAGGGGTTGGTTGCACTCGATTGGGAAACCGATCCGCATAAACATGTGCCATTTTTCATTTCGTTTGAGCCACGCAGCAAACACCACTATTCACTCACGCGTTACCGACTGACACATTGACTGAATAAAAGCATCGTGATAAGCGTTCCAAATTCTTTCGCTTTTTTGTTTCCGATGCGATGAACCGATAAGTCGGATTATATCCGTTGTTGCCAAACACGAGCACATAATATTATTATTGAGATAGGGCGGTACTCAAACTTCTAAAGGGCTATAACTTTGTTACTTTAATTTTACCAGAAAAATGTTAAAGGAAAAAAACATTTCTTTTGATCAGATCTACTCACTGTTAAAATAAATGACTCAACTTCGAAGTCACCCTGTATGTTATAAAAATATTCATTCTTAATATTTTAAACCTATAACACCCTGCTACATTTTTATTATTTGTGTTTGATAAGAAAAAAACTAAGATTTCAATAGTTGGGCCAACTGAAGTGGGAAGGGGCTCGTACATATCCAGTGTCAGTATCGCATCTCTCCCAAATCTTAATACCTCTCCTTATTAGTTTTAACGGAAGGTATTCTTTCAGCGAGGAACGATCGTTAAATTTCATCATTGACCCATATATACTTGAAAACTACTATCAGTTCGAGCTGTTGAAAATGTATGTTTGAGACACGACATAACTTCAGAAATGTAATAGAGTTTGACTGAATTTCCTGTTTTTTAGAATGGTTGTAATACATTTTTGATGTAAGAAAAAAATCTGTCTCTAGAAATGACATTTTTAATGGTTAGACAAAGTTATGTTGGATACGAAAGAGATATGATAATAGCAATATAACGATAAACGTGAAGACATCTCATCTTAGAAGATTTCGAAGTACTGCCCACTACCAATTAATGTTTACTACATGGGTAGTAAACAATTCGATATGGGCAACAATGTCAGGGTAATATTAAAGTCACTTACTTGGTGACGAAACGACAACGAGCTATCCTCCTTTAGCAAGCGATAAGGGCGACATGATCGGATTGTCGGGGCCAACACCTATTCTTAGAAAAAGACTTATGAGTATCTCCCGTATTCAACTGACTCATGACATCACATGCACAAATCTACTATTTACCATTACGTTAATGTACCCCAACTACTACTACGGATTCGTCATCGACTGAATCACCGGATCGTCACACAGCCTAATCCTGACCGTCACACAGACTGATCATTAAGTCGTCACACAGACTGACTAGGAGTCGTCACACAGACTGACTAGGAGTTGTCACACAGACAAACTCTAACTCTTTGGTCGCTAGGTGTATGGTCAAACGTGCCGAGTTTAACGATTATTACAAAAAGACAGTCCAGGAACCGGGATATCACGTTGGCCAAGGGCCGTTGTGTCAATACCCCAAAGCTCCTACGTTACCCATGAATCAGAGGTAACCGAGCAATATGACTATCGTTAAAGTAACAATCCCTTCAGACATCCTGCCATGAGATACATTCAGACTCCAGCGATCGCCAAGAGAAGATAGTTAAGCGGTCATTCAGACCTAGGACGCCACTTCGGCCAAAGGCCACCGAGCAGTAAGTAACATAACTACCTCAACCCAGCAAACGGGCTCCGAAAGTCCCATAACAACCCCCAGAACCTGGAGGCGTCCCACCTGCGGATATTCAATAACAAGTCGTAAGCCATAAGTTAAATTATGAAGGTATCAATCCATGCAGTACAGCAGAATAAAGGAAACACTCAGTGATTGCTCACCTTTCAGGTAACCAAAACACTACGCCCAACAGCACATCAACGCTGTAATCAAGTTCACAAGGCGCACTACTTGGTCTGAGAAGCGATCTCGTCCACGCAATAATTGAACTGCAACGCCATTCACGCCATCTTTAACAAAGTTTATCCTGGGAACAAGTTCCCAGAGAAGGAATGGAATGTATAAAGTAAACAGGCTAAGGGCCGTAGCGCTGAGTGACACTAAGCAGCCTTGTGAACCTACTGGAAAGGTTTTATGTACTACATGGTTGGACTCGCATGCAAAAATGTGTTTGAGATATTTCGTAAGCTTACCATAATGCGTGATTAGATGAAGAAATTTTTGCTGGGATCTCTATAACCCGTTAGTATCTAAAGGGTTAAACTGGTTCAAAAGTCATCATCTAGTTAGACTCAACTTTGTATTATCAACGTAGTAGAATTGACCGCTCGGAGATGCCGGCCGGTGCAGATGTCGCTTTGAGCCGGGGCGACAGAATCTGTGAAATTTGTGGCGATGAAATACGTAAATCGGGTGGTATTACGTGCGATGCAGAAAATTGCAGTATATCTATTCATACAAAATGTTTTGAGAATATCGCTAAGTTATTCTTCACCGAAAGGAAAAATTGGAGGTGCAAAGGTTGTACCATAAAGTGCAAGTCGACACCTAATACTCCAGCGACTGACGTTATAGTGCTTCGTCATGAAGTAGAATGCCTCAATCGTGAGAAAGAGTTACTAGTGAACCTTAACAGTGAATTAAAATGCAACAATGAGCTCCTCAAGGAAAAATTATCATTTACAAGCAGTGAATCATCATCCTACGCTGCAAAAACAAGGGGACCATTTCTTAACCAGGCAAACACAGGTACTGTTTCTTGTAGCACAGCCAAAAAAAGTCAAAATAAACACATACTATCATCAGCTGGGATTATTGTTAAATCGAACAATAACTCGATAGCTAATACTGACGTGTTGAATGATATTAAAAATAATATTAACCCCAAGGATCTTCAACTGTGTTTAAGTGGTATCAAGAAAATTCGCAATGGTGTAGTTATTTGCTGCGATGATGACAAATCGTTGGTAAAACTAAAGGAACATGTTTCTAACAAATTAGGAAGGAAATATGAAGTTAGTAATACTAAGCTGTATAATCCCCGAATTATGGTTAAAAATATTCAGGTTCCTGAAAACTCCAGTGTCGCTGACATTATTGACAATATTTCATCTATTAATGACCTTCAAGATCTACAAAATCGTGAAATTAAATTTGTAACGAAATTAAACTACCCTAACGCTACACATTTGGTACTTGAGGTGTCACCTGAGGTGAGAAGCCTCTTTATGTCACGTCAATATGTATATGTCGGATTCAGCAAATGCTTCGTTGCTGACCATATTAGAGTGGTGCGATGTTTCAAGTGCAGTGCAATAGGTCATCTTGAAAAAGACTGTAAGTCATCCATTGTGTGTTCTTCATGCAGCTGTGAACATCGATATAAAGAATGCTCGTCCGAAGTCCTTAAGTGCATTAATTGTGTTAAAAGTAACGAAAAATATAAAACTAAATATGATGTTTGCCATTCGTTGAATGACGAAGGTTCCTGCTTGGTGTTACAACATTACATAAATAATCTTAAATCTAAAATCAATTATGGAACATAAAAAATATATTAGAATAGCTCACATAAATGTAAGGTCGTTACTTTCCAATTTTGCCGATTTTGTAGAGTTAGTTTTTGAAAAAAAATTAGATATAGTTGCTGTATCGGAAACTTGGTTGTCCGAATGTACTAGCTCTGAAACTGTTAATATCCCTGGCTTCAGCTTTTGTAGAAATGATAGGGCATCCCGTGGTGGTGGTGTCGGTATTTATATTAGAAGCAACATCAAATTCGAGGTACTTACTTCTTATACAGATGCTTGCTTGGAGCATATGTTCATTAAATTTAAAATTGGTCACTGTAGTTACTGCCTGGGTGTAATGTATAGACCTCCGAGTGCAAATGTTTTGAATGCTATCGAATGTCTCGATAATTTGCTACCTGGCCTAGTAACTGCATACGACAATTTATTCATGTTAGGTGATTTAAACGTTAACTTATTGATCAAAAATAAAATCAGTGAATGTTTTCAATCATATGGCTTTACACAAATTATCGAAGATCCCACTCGTATTACTGAGACAAGTGGATCCCATATTTCTGTCTGATGTTGTGGTTTGCGGTGACAAGGGTACCATCAACGCTGATATCATTAGTGACCATCAAATGGTTTTCTGTGACCTACTTTGTAGTTTAAATAAAGTACATAAGTATGTGACTTTCAGAGACTATAAACACTTCGACTTAGATAACTTCAACCGAGACTTACATCAGATGAACTGGGAGCAGGTCTTATACTTTAGTGACGTTGAAACCAAATTGAAATTTTTGACTGACAACATCAATGCCATCTTTGATTTACATTGCCCAATTCGGACAGTGCGTGTCACTAGACCGAAAGCACCATGGTTGACCGCCAATTTGAAGTTAATTTTCAAGGAAAGAGATAAAGCGCTGTCTAAATTTAAAAGCAATCCGTCTGTTCAAAATTGGAATAATTACAAATCTTTGAGAAATTATGCATTACAGTCGTTACGGAATGAAAAGTCTGCCTTTTTGGATCATTTACAAAATCAGAGAAATTCCTCTTTATTATACAAATCTTTAAGAAATATGCGCGTTCAAGCAATTAAATCTTCTGAAATCCCATCAACACTCACAGACCCTTACAAAGTCAATGAATACTTTACCTCAGTTTTTCAAAACAGTGATGAAGCGTGCTTTAAAAAAATACTTTACTACAGAACAAATAACTTTTTGCAAAGAAATTCATTTTCTTTTAAGCTAGTTGATTTAGATGTGATTAAAACTGTTATCTGCAGTATAAAATCCAATGCTTCTGGAACGGATGGTATCACGTTACAAATGTTATTGTGTATCTAACGAAGCTACAAAGTAATCGTAAACAGTGGTTGATTCGTGATCAACGCGTGATCGGTAGCCATGGCGCTCTGTCGGCCTCTTCCTGATTGGCTTGTAGCGATGAGCCTCCAGACAAAGTCGCACGGTTGCCACGCTCGGCGAGTTTTCGCCAGAGTGGTTGATCACATTCGCATGGATCACAAATCAATCTGTTGGTGCAATACGTGCAATAACTGTTGTAAAGGACATTATATAACAATAAATGGCATCACAAAGGTATATTCCAATTTGATCTGCAGCAAATTATGAACGGCATATACGGAGATGCGAAAACAAGCTCAAAAAGGTGAAGAAAATTTTTGTGCAATCTTTATAGTTAAATTTTTCCTAAGAGATAGCATCAGTGAGGGAATTTTTTTCTATTGTCTTATTTTTCACATTAATGCGATGTCGAGGTATGTGGCCCTATCGCAATTGAAAATAAGGTTTCGATAATCCTTCCATAAAGTTTCGATGAGTACATCTGAAATAACCTTGAGATATTCTTCAGGGAAATACAAAAATCTCCTTTTGTGTTTTTTTGTGCAGATTTATCTATTAAAATCCTATCCGCAATCTATTTTCCGTGCACACACCTTCAACCGAATGTATGCCATATATGATATTACCGTTTCCAACTTTCACCAAGGTTAATAGGAACCATAACAGCTCCCTACCCTTCCCCCCTATAAGAATATCGATTTGTAGCCTCACATTTCAAGGTTAGACTTCTTGTAATGTTTCTGTTCAACATTCGGCGATTTCTGACAATTTTCCCAATAAAACATGATCATTGTGACATTAAGCCTGGCAACGCTGCATAGTAGAGGGAACTCTCAGCGTCACGTTGATGGTTCGTCACCACGCACAGGATTGTAATCAGTTACGGATACCCGTTTATGAGCGCGAACGTTTTATGCACGTCTTGACTTGATTTTTCTTGCGGAAATTTAATATTAGTCTAAAATGTCTGACACAGATACAGCTGATGAAGTGGTTGAAGTCAGCTTAACGCCACCCAGAAAAAGGGCTAAAAAGCTTCATCTTAGCGCAGGTGAAAAACAAATTATTCTAAATATCTACAAGAACCAGATGCAAGAGAATAGTGGATTGGCTATAGAAAATATCGTATGTAAGGTTGCTGAAATTTCTGGAGTAGGTCGATCAAGTGTTTACAAAATCTTGAAGGAATATAGACAAAATCATTCACTATCTGAGCCAAAAACATATCCAGCGAGATAAAAAATCATCGAAAAAATAGATGACTTTGACAAAAGTGCCATTAGAAGAAAAGTACATCACTTTTTCTTCAGGAATGAAATACCTACAATAGATAAAATATTGAAGCAAGTGAATGATGATGAGGACCTGCCAAATTTTAAAAGATCTATGTTCCATGAGCTGTTGAAAGAACTAGACTTTCGATTTTTGAAAAGAGGAAGGAATAGTTTATTGATAGAAAAGGAGGAAATTGTTATCTGGAGGAGAGAATACCTTAGAAAAATTAGGCAATTCCGCGCTGAAGGAAGAAAAATTTATTATTTAGACGACACATGGGTGAACGCGGGGCATACGCAGGGAAAGGTTTGGGTAGACAGATCTGTGAGGTCCTCAAGGCAGGCTTTTTTAGATGGCCTTTCGACGGGATTGCAAAATCCTGCAGGTGAGTTTCGAAGTATATGAACTTTTTTGGATGCAGATAATTCATTTTCTGATCGAATCAATGATTTGGAAGCTCCGAACTCAGTTTTGCTATCTCATCCAAGTTTCTGAGTATTTCCTTCACCCAAAAACTAATCTAAGACCCTATCCTACACTAACCTAAAAAGAGTAAGTTGCTTAATTTCGTGATTTAGTGCGCTCGCTGAGAGGTAAAATAACTAATTACTTTCAGGCAAAGGAAAACGCCTGATCATTTGCCACATAGGTAGCGTAGATGGATTTGTTCCTGAAGCATTGTGGGCATTTGAATCCAAAAAAACTGGAGACTATCACGAAGAAATGGATGGTAACTCATTTGAAACTTGGTTCAAAAAAATTTTGCCGACACTTGATGATAACGCAATTATTGTGATGGATAATGCCCCGTACCACTCCAGAAAATTGGAAAAAATTCCAACAATGGCCACCAAAAAGGCAGACATTCAACAGTGGCTTGTCTCAAAGAAGATCGACTTCGACCAAACAATGGTCAAAGCTGAGCTGATAAATATAGTCAAGCGACATAAGTATAAATATGATTTAAAAATTGTTGACGAAATGGCCAAAAACCAAAATAAAACGATTCTCAGGCTGCCTCCCTATCACTGCGAACTGAATCCTATCTAGTTGATTTGGGCCGACATCAAGCAATACGTGGCGTCAAATAACAGCACTTTTAAGTTTTCTGACCTTAAAAAACTGTTTGATGTTGCTGTCGATAGAATTACGCCAGCAAAATGGAGAGCATGTATTGACCATGTCCAAGAGAAGGTTGAAACCAAAATGTGGGATATGGACAATATCGTTGACACCCAAGTTGAACCCCTTATAATTGACATCAACAATTCTGATGATTCAAGCTCCTCGGAATACAGTATATAAATCGATTGATACCATTAAGACTGGCAGTTTAACGGGCTTTTTGGCAAGACAGGTAAGTTCATTATAGACTGCAATCAAAGTGTATGTTTCTAGTTATTAATGTGGAAATTCCAAATTTATAATTACACAAAATTAGGGTTAATTTATGAGTTCCAAAGCATAATAGTGCCATTTTGACCTTCTTCCTATTTCTCATGTAAATTTTAATAGCAATCAAACTAACAAACTTTATGGAGTCTGTAATAAACTTTTGTACTACTACTACTACGTCTGTAGTTTCTATTTGCTCAAAAAAATTTGCTCTGCATTGTGAATAGAAGGTTGATTTGTAAATATTATTGGGTATATATGTAAGTTAATAATAAAATATGAACAATTTCAATTGAGATGGTCCACAAGTTTTTTTCGTGTGCGTTTTAGTAACATTTTGCTGAAATGGTGAATACAGAATTTTTTGCACTGATTCCTAATGTCGAAATATGACTAGAAAGGCGTGGTATGTTTCTGATAGTTTACTATGCTTTTGATAGAATTTACAGCAACACATATCTTGTACGACATTTTTTGATAGATCAGTCACAATAGCTTGATACGGCCCTGTAGCGTCTCCTACGGTTAAGTTCTTGATCACGTGCAATACGGGTGTATATGTTTGATTTTACTTTGTTTCTTCGATGGATACAGTATAAAGTTATGCTTTCCAGTAATTGACATTCATCTGCTACATGTTATTAATATTTGCTTGGAAACTGGATAATTTCCCGACCTTTGGAAGACAGCTCTGGTGACTCCTCTGCCAAAATTGTCTAATCCGATATCCATCGCTGACCTCAGACCAATAAGCATATTGCCAATAATGTCTAAAATTTTAGAACGAGTAACTTATACACAGATTCTAGATCATCTCAATGCACATAATATAATCCCCACCCATCAATCAGGCTTTCAGAAAAACCGCAGTACAACTACAGCCTTGTCTTATCTCATTGATAGCATCAAATCTTCCATCGACAGTAAAAACATGAGCTTGCTGGTACTGTTAGACTTTTCCAAGGCCTTCGATACGCTTAACCATCGACTGCTTGTTGCCAAGTGCCACTACTATGGCTTCAATGAAGTTGCCTGCAACTTTATTAGGTCATATTTAAGGGAACGTAGGCAAAAAGTAAATATCAATAATCAAATGTCGACATCAAGGTACATTCAGTCAGGTGTTCCACAAGGCTCAGTACTGGGACCATTGATGTTTTTACTTTACACTGCAGACTTACAGGATAACTTCAAGAATACACATGCTCAATTTTTTGCTGATGATACGCAGATGAAGTGTGATTTTAATGCCGACAATGTCCAGGAGTCCATGATGCTAGTAAATGCGGATCTGGATAGTGCTAATAAGTACTGCAGCTCTCACAACTTGAGACTAAATCCCTCAAAATGTTCTGCTATATTATTTGGCAATAAAAGATTATGTGAAAACCTTAAACCATTAATTCACATCAAAGTTAATGGGGAGGAAATTATTTTTTCTGAAATAGTAAAAAACTTGGGCATTCACTTTGACTCGGACTTACGTTTCAACTCCCATCTGAATAATGTCTTGAAAAAATGTTATCTATCCCTCAGGCTTCTATTTGCAAACAAACATATTCTGCATAGAAACATCAAAATTAAATTGTGTCAAAGTTTAGTTATTTCTAAAATGTTATATGGCTTATCCATATATTACCCATGTTTGACGTCTATTAACGCAAAACGTTTGCAGATAATGCAGAATACCTGTGTACGGTTTATCGAGGGCCTAAGAAAGTTCGATCATGTATCACACTTGTATCGTAGTCTTGCATGGCTAAGCGTTTAAACCTTTTCAAATACTCCATTATCAGCTTCACTCACAGGATCATACTAACATCATCCCCTCAATACCTCAGCCGTAAACTTGTTCCAAGGGCGTCTGTGCATAATCTTCAGGTTCGTAACCGTGACACCTTAACTATGCCAATACACCGCACATCACTTTTTAGACGAACTTTCACATACAATGCAATTTTATATTACAATAGCTTAAGCCAGGATCTGAAGACTATCCAGTCCTCCCGGAGTTTTAAAACTCAGTTAAAAAGATATTTACAAGAATTGCAAAACAACCGCTAGCTTAAGAAGTTCTTTCATTTTCATACTTTTTGTATTTTTCATTATTTTTCCGTTTGTTCATAACCTATTATCTCTTCTTCTTTTTATAGCTAAATTGGCACAAATAGTCCTATTATAATGTAACCTATTATCTCTTCTTCTTTTTATAGCTAAATTGGCATAAATAGTCCTATTATACTGTGACTTAATGTTTGTAGTTTCCCCTTTTTTTTTTGTTTTTGTATAACATTTTTTTTTTTTGCATTTTTGTACGGGGTTAGATGGTGGAATAGCAGGTGCTAAATCTCGCCCCATGTGATGTACCATGTTTTGGTCAATAAAGACGATTATTATTATTATTATTATTATTATTATTATTATTATTATTATTATTAATTACGGCTTGTTACAAATTAGGTGCGCACAAACTTCGACGGAAACTCTGAGCAATTAAACAAAAGCGTAAAAAGAAGAGCCGGTGTAGAAGAGAAATCGTAAAACAAACAATCTCTGTTAACTAGCGTGGTGTGCGATTTGATGGCGTTTTAAATCAGCCGTGAGGATGGTCGTAAAAAGTGCAGACGACACAGAAACGTCAACCGTAATTGCGTTTTTAATTAATCGCTCTACGACTATTAGCCGAACGTGCAAGAACGTGCCGCCCTGCCGACCGTCGTTATTTACACGGAGGACTTTACACTGGACGCTTCCAAAAATAATACCTCTTGACTACAAGTTGGAAATTGTGGAACGGCGAACGGCGCATAATTTACGCTAATCTGTGCCAATGTAACCATTACATAATGTTATACTGGGTGTCTAGGAATAAATGTCTCTCTTTAATAATCAAAACGATGGAGTGATGGTGTATGTACGAAACAATTTGCCTTATAACCATACCATATTTACAATCAACAATGAACTAAAAGGTATCAATCTAACAATGCAAATTGAAAATCGTAGAGTCAAAATTACTTGTGTTTACCGACCACCATCTTCAGATCCTAATACATTTATAAGAGACATAGATGAATTATTAAAAAACAATGAAAACAATCACCTTCATAATCAAATATTTATAGGCGACATCAATATAAAGATTTTAGAGGAAAATTCTATGGTGAAAGAATATTTAAACATTTTATCAAGTAACGGTTTTTTATCATACATAAATAAAGTAACACGACCCACCAGTAAAACCTGCATTGATCACTGCTTTGAGAGTTCGGTCCTGCAACCGAGTCAGTTAGTCTATCTGACAGTGAGCTCGTGAATTTACCGTATTAAAAGTGAACCATAACACAAACAATTTTCGACTTGCTACCATATAGTGCAAATCACGAACCAGGACGCATTGTGAGTAGGAAATATTGTGCTATATACCGAGAACATAGTAAATCAGTGGATCAAATACTCAACATTCCAATCTCAAGCGTTCGGGAAAAACGCGTCCACAATTTGGACCTCGAAAGAACAGGTCCGTATTCAGAAATGATATTTTTCCATACTGATATAAAACCTTAGCAACAATGACATCAACACCGATTAACCAACCCACACACTATTCCACAATTCTAACTACATATAAACATCCAACTCAAGAACAAGCTATAGTTTTCAATTCCATAGACGGAGCAAGAATACAAGATTACTTGCTCCAATTAGGACCAATGATTGACCCGAAGAACATTTTGTTTTGCTCTAGAATTTCCAATAACAGAATTTGCATATACCTCTCCAGCAAGGAATTAGTAAATAAATTCGTAGAGAACCCAGGGGAAATTGTAATACAAGGAGAAAAAATTAAGGCCCGTAAATTAATTTCACCATCGGACAGGTTAGTGCTATCGAACGTTTGCCCAACAATACCACACGCAGTTTTAAAGGAAAAACTACAAGATCTAGGCTTGAAATTAATATCTTCCATAACATTTTTGAGAATCGGAGCAACAGTACCAGAATACAATCACATATTAAGCTTCAGGAGGCAGGTATATATTACACCTCTAGAATCTAACCAAATACCTGAGTCCATCGAAATCACTCACGATAGTCTATCATATCGCATCTTCTTATCGCTAGACAGTCAGAAATGTTTTAAATGTAAACTTTCTGGTCATATTGCTTCACACTGTCCTTCTGTAAACAACACACCACTGACAAATAACAGCAACACACAATATAGTCAGCCAGAAATTTCAGCCACCGAAACCACTCAAAGGATAGAACAGAATCATAGCAAAACAACAGTTTTTCTCCCTTCATCTCAACCAAGCAACAAGGAAATACCAGTACAGACATCCAACACCTCACATGAACCACGAAGCGTAACATTCAGTAGCAGCCAGACAAATATAATAGATAAAGCACCCAACAAAAGACCCATTTCAAATATTTTAACACCTCCAGCAGCAAATACACCCAACAGTCCTACGTTCACTATTCCAAGAAACATTAACACCAAAAAGCATAAGTCGGAAACTGGACCGTCGATCATCCAAGACGATGCTTTATCTCCAGTTAAAGCATTTATAGAAAGCCATACCCCACCACTCGCGTTAAATTGTGACCAGCTCAAGAGTTTACTGGAAAACACACATGGGGTACAAGACATAACACATATCATAAACGACTTTACAGATGATATCAAGGGACTTACAGAAATGTTACTACTAATATATTCTCATATAGATGACAGAACGCTAAAAAACCGCTGCACCAGACTTCGGAAGAAACTGGAACGCATCATCGACAAAAGTCTCAATGACTCTCTTAGCGATACTTCCTCAATAGACACATCTTTTTACTAAAATAAGAATCATGTCAATATTGCAATGGAACTTAAATGGATACTATGTCCATTTAAACATGTTAAAAAAACTGATAGCTGATTATACACCAGATGTCGTTTGCCTCCAGGAAACGCATTTCCACGACACAAAATCACACTCACCCAAAAACTATGCAGGATTTTTCAAAAACAGGCAAAGACCCACAGCAAGCGGTGGAGTCTCAATATACGTCAAAAGGGAGATACCTGTCCGACCAATTCCATTGAATACAAACCTAGAAGCTATAGCTATATCTATAGACCTCAAAGATGTACTCAACATATGTAACATTTACATCCCACCAGACTACCATTTGGAACCTGCCGAATTCCAAGCTCTGTTAGAACAAATACCCAGCCCTAGAATAATATTAGGAGACTTCAACGCCCACAGCATCTCGTGGGGCTCTTTTAAAAATGATCCTAGGGGAGAATTATTCAAGGAAGCACTTGAGACGAACAACCTAGCCTTACTTAACGATGGAAGCAGCACAAGGTTTGATGCTGCTTCAGGGAGATTTTCTACCATCGACTTAAGCGCATGCTCGCCGAGCCTTCTGACGCATCTGAATTGGACCACTGCTGATGACTTATATAATAGCGATCATTTTCCTATTGTCATCTCAGATTCAAGAAATGATAGAAGTGATACGATACCACCAAATAAATGGAGATTAAAAGAGGCCAACTGGACTGATTACTCGCAATATATAGACAACAATATTAACAACATCGATTTAACCGAAAATATAAACATAATTATAGAAAAGTTTAATACCTTAATCACCAAAGCAGCACAACAACACATTGGGAAAACAAAAACCGTCAAAAAGAAAAATCCAGTTCCTTGGTGGAACCAAGAATGCGAGACAGCACTCAAAGAAAGTAAATCAGCTCTAAATAAGTACAAAAGACACAAAACGACTGAAAACCTACGTGACTTAAGACAGAAGCAGGCCAGAGCAAGACTTACAACAAACAGAAATCAGAAAAAGTCGTGGCAAAATTTTGTTGAAGGAATGAATACAAGAACACCAATATCAACAATTTGGAAAAAGATAAAAAGTATCTCAGGCGCAAATAGTTTTCAAAAATTAAAGCAATAAAAGATGAATCGATAATTCACACTAACAGCGATAAAATTGCTGAAATACTATCGAAAACATACTATAAGCACTCCAGCAATGATAACTACTCTCAAGAGTCATAGCTCACAAAACACAACACGAAACAATTCCAATAACAGTTGAGAATAATGAAGACACCATCAACACTCCCCTAACCATTAACGAACTGCTCGATGCCATTCAAGATATGAAAAACACATCACCAGGGCCAGACGATATTCCAACCGTCTTCCTCAAGAACCTGCCTCTATCCGGTAGGAAATGTTTATTGGACATTTACAATATAATATGGTCAAAACATGAGTTTCCGAATAGCTGGAATCAAGCAATTGCCATTCCCATAGTTAAGCCAGGTAAACAACAGCTAGATCCAGAGTCATACAGACTAATTTCCTTAACATGTGTACCATGTAAATTGCTTGAGAAAATTATAAACAAGCGCCTGGTCTGGAGCCTAGAACAAAAACACGTACTGATACAGGAACAAGCAGGTTTCAGGCCGAACAGATCGACTATGGATAATATAGTCGATTTGAACAATTATATTCAGGAGGCATTTGAAAACCAGCAACACTGTTTTGCCATTTACTTTGACATTAATAAAGCCTTCGATACGGCGTGGAGATATAAAATAATCGAGAAGCTTAAAGACTGCGGCTACAATGGACATATATTAGCTTTCATTGCCAACTTTTTGGGTGAAAGAAACTTCCAGGTTCGAGTGAATGGATCACTGTCCAATTGAAAACACAAGAGAACGGTGTACCACAGGGATCAATTATCAGTCCGACACTTTTTCTAATTACAATCAATGACATCTTGGATAATATGGAGAAACCTGTCCAAGCCAGACTCTACGCAGACGACATGATAATTTACGTAAGAGGCAAAAATATTGAAACCAGTGCCCAACTCTTAAAAAGCGCAGTTATCGAAATTAGAACATTGGTCCAATCAGACAGGCTTTTCGTTTTCTCCCAGCAAAACAAAATGCATCATCTTCAGCAAAAATGTGAACAGAATAATCCATCACTACAAATACATGACACATCGCTAGAGTACACGGATGAAATCAGGTTTCTAGGAATAACATTTGACAGACGTCTAACATGGAGAAAACATATCACTCAGCTTATTCAGTCTTGCCAAAGGAGAATTAATGTGTTAAAATGTCTAGCACATAAGCACGGGGAGCAGAAAGCAAAAACACTTTAACCATTTACAGACTGCTAATACGATCAAAATAGACTACGGGTGTATCGTGTATGCATCTGCCAAAAAAACCATATTAAAGCATCTAGATGTGGTACATAATACAGCTTTACGTATCATACTAGGAGCCTATCGAACAACACCGCTGGAAAGCTTATACTGCGAAGCAGGAGAACCCCCACTGCAACTGCGACGAGACATTCTCAGTTCATCATATATCATTAACACAGCATCAAACCCAGATGCTCCCACTTCTAAAAACCTACGCACCCTCATAGAATACGACAGAAATCCATTGCACATTCCACCCTACACAGAAGAGTTAGATCTCACCTAATACAGTTGAATATAAGCCAAATGCCTCAATTATATCCAGTCAAAGTCTCAAACGCACCACCTTGGGCTGTTCAGCTTCCTCGTGTAAATACCCAGCTAACAGAACTAGACAAGCATAGCACCCCTAACGAAATAATACAGAGGAATTCTACGAAATCGTTGGTAAATATCTTGACCACAAGCTAATATTTACCGACGCATCGAAACAAGGATCAAACTGCGGAGCAGCAATAGTTACACCAACAACCATCAAGACCTTGAAGATTCCGGACTCAGCCACTACTCTGACAGGAGAGCTTTACGCGATTCTGGAAGCATTAAAATATATAGAAAGCACCGTTGACCAAAAATGGATAATCATTACAGACTCACTTAGCTCAATATACTCCATCAATAAGTTATATACAAAAAACCCGATAGCCAAGATAATACAAGAAACAATTACTCAACTCACCAACAATAACCAGATTATAGTACTTATGTGGGCTCCATCTCACAAAGGAATAGCAGGGAATGGAAACAGCGGATACAAACGCTAAAAGAGCGGCAACGAACAACAGCATCTGCAACCTCCAGTTCCAGCATCAGATATGAAGGTATATGTAAAAGGCAAAACAATAGACCAGTGGAATAGTGTGTGGAGGAACAAGCCTTCCAAGCTACAAGAAGTGAAACCAAGCTCAACGAATTGCAAACAGTAACAGAAAAAAGGAGACTGCAAGTGATAATAACCCGCCTCCGACTGGGCCACACAAGAATCACCCACAGCTACCTCATCACCCGTGACCCTGAACCAATGTGTTTTATGTGTGAAAGCGTTTTATCGGTAAACACATTCTAGTGGAGTGTCCAATGTTCGAACAACAAAGACATCAGTTTAATCTCTGTGGTTAAAACTCTAAAAGACATAATTGGAGCCACCTGCAATGTCCGAAATCTAATGTTGTTCTTGAGCCATTGTAATTTAATACATAAAATTTGATTCATGTACACATTAAATCCGCTGCTAATAGCTAATTAGCTGATGCAGCTTATGTAAATAAAAAAAAAAAAAAAATCACTGCTTTATAAAGGATATTTCCAATATTTTTTCTTACATGCCTATTATCTATGAAACCGATACTACAGATCCTTATTCCACTGTATTATTGATATCTTCACAAAATAAAACCAGAACTGCCCAAGGGCAAAAATAAAGAAACCTTGAATACAAATATTTCACTGACACTCAAAATTATATTAACGCACAAAGGGAATCGTGGGACGAAATTTTTTAACAAATTCTTTAGACGAAGCTACAAATTGATTAATACACAAAATTCAAAAAGTAATTGAAGTTAGTACTAATAAGGTTAAAATAGGTCACAAGGAAAAAAAGCAGAAATGAGTGGATGACCAAAGGACTAATAAATCTGCAAACGAAAAAGAAAGACTGTATAAAATCATGAAATATTTACCCACGAAAGAAAATATAGATCATTATAATCAGTATAGAAAACAAATTTATAGAACTTTTGAGAAAAGCAAAAAAATTACTATATTAAAACAATTGAATAATAATTCACATGACTAGACACCTATGTCCACTGTCAATGATATGATTCAATAAGTCATCCTATTCAAAAAACAATAGTAATGAAATAAAAACAAAAACAGGACAGAAACAGACAATATTCAGCAAAATGTGATGAGTTCATAGAATTTTCACGAATATAGGAGGAAACTTAGCAAATAATATCAAACAAAATGCTGATATTCATCTGCATGAAACAAGACTGAATAATTCATTTGTATTACTGAAGTAGACTATCAGGATGTTTCAATGCCATTATGACTCTAAAAAATAAAAAAGCCCTGGAGTTGACGAAATTAGAGCTGAACATCTAAAGATACTGGCCAAACAAAATAACAGAACCACTTGCTTATATCATTAACAAATCCTTCCAATCTGGAGTATTTCCATCAGCTTTCAAGACAGCAATCATCATAACCTATCTATAAATCTAATGATAATACGGACGTCACTAACTATCGACCTATTTCACTTATATCAAGTTTAGCTAAAGTTTTTGAGAATTACTCCTTAATAAAATGATTAATTTTCTTAATAAATTCAAAATTCTAAATTCAAATCAATATGGTGTTATAGCGGGCAAATCTACAACAGATGGGGTATTAAGTATAGTAGATGAAATACCCCAAATATAGATGGAAAAGTACCATCGATATGCGTATTTGTGGACTTACAAAAAGCGTTTGACACAGTTAACCACATATACTTTGGAAACCTTAGAAGAATAGGTTTTCGTGGAAAGATGTATACTTTAATGGAAATTATTTATCAAATAGGCCGCAATCAGTAAAATTATTGAGCTCGTATAGTAAAGAAATGTTTGTTAAATGTGGTACCCACAGGTACAATTTTGGGTCCTCTGTTATTCAATATTTATTTAAAACGATATATTCAAAATTAAAAGTACTGGTAAAATAGTCAGTTTTGCAGACGATACTGCTATATTCTATAAAGGTAAGGATTGGAAACGACTAAAAGATATTATCCAAAATGACTTTTGCAAAATTATTCAGTGGTTTAATAACCGAAAATTAACAATTAACTTTACTAAAACTCATTTTTTACCATTTTCATCACTATCTAATCATCTACCAAAATATAACCACCTTCGGTTTAAGGTAAATGATAGAAAATATAAAATCAATAGAGTTTAATGATACAAAATATTTAGGAATTTATCTAGATCCCCACTTGAGATGGGATGTACAGATTTCTCACATACTAAAGAAAATTAGATTCATAGCATATAAATAAAATTTCTAACCGATATATTAACTGAATATTATCTACGATAATATATCAGCTTTTAGTCGAGCCACACATAACATATGGTATAGTAGTGTGGGGTGCTGCATGCATGACATACTTTAACGATTTAGATGTACTTCAAAGAAGAATTTTAAATCAATGTAGGCAAATCAAAATTATACCCAACTAATGACTTATATAATGATGCACAAGTATATGATACTAAACAACTTTACCTCTTACATACCATCACTCATTATCACAAAACTATTAGTCAACACGACCATAATTAAACATAATCATAAACCAGATACAAATTACGCGCAAAAATGTTCCTAAACCAAACAATCCCTAATGAAACGATGTCACCTGTATATAGCTCCAAAATTGTACGAACATTTACCAAATAATTTAAAACAATTACGCAATACATTAGGCTTAAAAAAAAATTTAAAAAAATGTTATTACACGATTGGGATAAATCAAATTAATAAAATAATCTCAAATATTACACAATAAATGCTCGACCATTCTTACCAATAATTTCTTTTTTCTCTCTATTTTATTATATTTTGCAATTCAACATACATATGAATCCATGCACAGGCGTTGTCCTCCTATGGATATATTATATTATTTACTCGTTTCGTGCTCCCTGTATTTTAGAGTAATAAATATTATTATTAGTATCATTATTAAAGCTGATAAAAAATGTCGTGGAGTTTTGAAGTTAATTTATGCAAGCAAAAATACACACGATTATAGGATACGAACGAGATGATAATAATGAAATTTAACGATAAACGTAAAAACCACAAACCCATCTTACGAGTAGAAGTTTTCGAATTACCACCCCGTAGCACTTCATTTTCACTACATAGGCAGTACGTAAATAATTCGATATTGGCAACAATGTCAGGTTAATATTAAAAGTCACTTACTTGGTGACGAAACGACAACGAGCTATCCTTCTTAGGCAAGCGATAAGTGCGATATGATCGGGTTGTCGGGGCCAACAACTATCTTTAGAAAAATACTTATGAGTATCTCCCGTATTCAATCGACTCATGTCTGGGGTTACCCGTTGGCGAAATATGTCGCGATAAATTTGAGCTACGAGATTTGAATTCTGACGAGCTTCACCGTAAACTACAACATGTCGGCGAACTCTTGATTCGAGAACATTGTAAATAACCACGACGACGTACGCAACAAAAACAAAACAACACGCCCCGATGATCTGCTCGACAAAACGATAAAGTAGTTTATCAATGCAAAACGATAACTAAACACTGTTTGCGATCGATTGCCGGTTCGATAAGAGTCATGAAAGACCGACGCGCTATCATCATGAGTGTTTTAAATAGTTTGTTTAATGAAACTTACTTACTAACTACAAATTTTGGCTTAGCTTAGAAAAACTTAATGCTATTTATTTGTTAATTATACAATTTAAAAACGTTTTAGATTGGATTATAAAAATTAGTAAGATTGTGGTGATTGTGGTCGATATAAAGCACTTTAAGTTGTAAACTATAAAGCCTTTTAGACTTTTGGACCTTGGGTCATATGAACTTTTGACTTATTTTGACCACCCTATTACCCATTTCACCAATGACTACCAAAACGTTTACACCCTGTATATTAAAAGTGTTCAATAAAAGAACGGTCGAAACCTCTTTCAGGATAATTGCCATAACATTTCTAATTCAAATACTTTAAAGCCTTACGCTCCACATATTCAATACTAACCCTTGAAGGAAGCAGCTTAATCGCTGAATCCACCATTTGAGTGCTATGATCCTTGAATGTCTGCTTGGCATCGAATACAACACCCAAATCTTTGAACGTTTCTGTTCGTTCGAGTAAGTGATCGTTGATACTATAATCGTAATGTATTACATTTTGCTTCCTACTAAAAGACAGAACTTTACACTTTGATACATTAATCAGCAGACTTGTGAACCCTCTAGAAAGATTTCTTGTGCGCTGCAGGGTTGAACTAGCATGCAAAAATGTGTTTGAGATATTTCGTAAGCTTACAAATATAGGCGGATTTCATATTTTCAACATTATGTTATCGAGGTGGCTTCCATTTCGGTTGAACCACTCTTGTGACGCGGTCTTCGTATGGTTAAAAACTACTAAACCTAGTTCATGTGTTATGGCTCTAATTTCTTCCTGTATTTTTTGTTTTAACTCTTGGAAAGTCCTAGACCGATTTAAATAAGCTTTTCTTTTAAGGTATACTCACAAAGAAAAGCCCAAAGTGAATCTGGAGAGCCAGCTGGTCAGTTTAGGTCTCCACCTTCTCCGGAAATAATTGTTGTGCGGTACCGCTGTCTTGTTAAGACCATGTTTCTTGATCAGAGCCATCAAATTCTTATAGGTACCAAAAAATCTCGATGCGTTGCACAATAACGATCACCGGTTACAGTCTGGGCTATGCCACGTTGGTTCTCAAAAAAGGACGGACCGATAATTCCTGAAGCCGACATTGCACATCACACAGTTTCTTTTGGGCTATATAGTGGCCTTTCGTATTTTTGCCTTGGATTCTCTGGCGCCCAATAGCGACAATTTTGCTTATTAGCTGCGCGTTAAAGGTGAAATTGCGTCTCGTTACTGAACAGAATGTTGTTATTTTGGCCACAAAAAGCAGTTTCGGCGAAGGAACTACCGTTTATAAAGCCATTTGGGTTTGATTCTTCTATCATTTGGATCTTGTAGGGATAAAGCTTTGAATCTTTCCTTAAAATTGTATGAAAAGATTACTTAAGCAAACTCACCATCTGTGATGTTTTACGAACAGATCAATTTGGATTTTGAATTATAGCGATACGTACAGCTTCAGGAGCAGTTACAGCCCTTGGACGACCAGGGCGTTTCACATTTAAAGCTGACGATGTTTCTCTAAACCTACTCACGATTTCACTAAATCTTTGCTTGATGCGTCCTAGACACGCCTAATATTGAAGTGTGCGCAAAGCCTTCGCCTTGCAATTGTGTACGAGTCATTGTTCTTGAGATATGCCTCAGTAATGAGCGCGCGATGAGGTCTCCATTTTTACTAAATAATCCGCATCGATCCACTATCAAGAGATGTTATGCCGACAGTGCTAAGTTACACTGTTGCCAAGTTATTCAAGTTTAAAAAATGAAATTTATTCCCGGACGCCTTGCACATAGTATCCCATAACTTAATTAATCAGAAGCACATCACAGAGGTAACCCAGCCGTTCAGATACTTGATAGCAAAACATACACAGACGGCTCACATTCCCTTGCATTGACTTGCATTAGCTAAGCCGTAAGGCGAACGAGGAGAAATGCTAGCTATCAGTTCGTCATTGTTTGCGGACGTATGGGCTTTAGGCTGGTCGTACAAAGTTTATACCATCATCATTTCAGCTTTGTACAGCATATTATTATGTAAATATGATAAATAGCATGAAACGCCATACATCATAAACATCAATATCTTAATACTGCAGGCACAATAGGCACTGGAAGATCCAAATGTGTCGTTATTGAAGGAGCCACATTAGAAGTGTCCAGCCAGAAAAAAACAATTTCTGTAACATGTTTCTGACTATACAGGGTGGCACATCCATGTGTGGACGGCATATTACTCATAACAAATACATTTTGGGAAAATCTATTAATGGGATGTTATACATGACTTTTGAGGGCACATTTCTATAATATTGGTCATTATACAGGGTGTCCCAATTTCGACCGACATATCAAAGTTGTGATTTTTCAAATAGAATGCGTTAAATTTTATTGCATATTCGGATAAACCAATTCAATAGAAGAAAATTGATATAAGATACTATGAGGTTTGGTAATGAGCTACTGAGATATAAGGTGTTTTGTCTAGAAGAACCCCCCACTTTGGCAATCCCTCAATCCGCCATTTCGAAATTTGGAGAGCTGAGTTTATATCAAAAAAACTTACATACCTCAGCTTTAATCCCATTTATTACTTTTTCGAATTTTCATTTTTGCTAGAACAGGGTGGTCAAAAACGCAAAATGTATCTCAAAAATTTCAAATGCATCACCCATATATTTGTGCAAGTTTGGATTCAATTTTTTAAAAGTTTTTTTTATGCTAAACACAAGGAGTTTTTACGGCTATTTCACGGTTATTAGCACGTCTTTTTTTTCATTCAGTAAAATATCGCACCATCCTTAGAAACAAATCAATTGTTGATTAGTTATAAACTGTCAAAATTAGCTTTGTGAGCATTATATAAAGACGTGTTTGTAAATGAATTTTTCTAAAGAAGAAATGGTGAATAGGTGTTTGTTTTGGGCGAAGCCCAAAGAAATAGTTTCTTAGCATCTCGCATTTATAACCAACGGTACCCTAATATGCGACATCCAAGGCCGGAAACATTTTCCACACTACGAGGATGTTTTGAATCAAGTGGAGCAGTGGAATATAGTAAAAATGTATAAATAATACAAGTGTCACCAATGAGGCGAATTAGGTGGAAATTCTATTAAAGTTACAGGAAACTCCACATTGAAGTGCACGGCAAATTGAAGAAGAAACTGATATATGCAGATCTTCTGTCCAAAGGATTATTCACAAGCTATCCATATCCCCTATGCTTGCATCAAGGCCTTCGTCCCCAGGATTTCGCAGCTCGAATAGAGTTTAGTAGAATAATGCTAAATAAAGTGAGTGAAGACACTACTTTCCTGGATAAGGTCCTCTTTAGCGATGAGGCAACTTTTAACATCAGTTGACGTAGAATGGAAAACAGTTCTTGGTGGTATTATTCACGTGTGGTATAAATTTGAGATATTCATCGAATATGAGACCTAGGTTTTTGAATGATTCACCCTCCTCAACACATTACATTTTTGTTAAAGTTTCTTTTCGTATCACTTGTGATTCGTTTCGGTGAAAAAATAATGACTTGAGTTTGATGGGTTCACCTGAGGATTATGATTCTTTATATACTAAGTGACATATAAATCCGAACACCCAGTTTAAATGGTTTTATTTTTAAAATTTTGTATAAGTACTTAATGAAGCATAATAAGTAAATGATAAAAATTTCAAAATGATTGCACTGCTATAAAGCCCTTTGACCTTTAATAATGTGTGGATGCACCCTGATGTGCTACGCATTCTCCAACGCGCCTAGACATGCTTCTGAAAAGGTGGTCAATGTCCTCCTGTGGTATCTCATTCCAGGCAACCACCAACTCCTCTCGAAGTGCTTCTAGAGTCTGAGGAGGACGTTGCAAATTGAGCAATCTCCTACCCATATCCCACACGTGCTCAATTGGGGATAAGTCGGGAGATCTTGGTGGCCATGGTAACAATGTGACATCATTATGTTGAAAGAAGTCTATTGTGACTCTTGCAACATGTGGTCGGGCATTATCTTGTTGGAAAGTTGGATCTGCCAGGGTGTCAAGATAGGGTAAAAGATGGGGTTCTAGAACTTCGTGGATATAACGCTGTGCGTTCATATTGCTTCTGATGAAGATTAAAGGTGACCTGAAACTATAAGCTATAGCACCCCAAACCATAACTCCAACAGTGTCATGAACATGTCTTTCAACAAAAAACTGTGGATTCCCCCTTTCACCACGTCGCCTTCTAACTCTGGCACGACCATCGTGCATGCCTAAACAAAATCGAGACTCGTCACTAAAGACAATACTGTTCCATTGCTAATCCCAGAGTGACCGTTGTCTGCACCACTCAAGGCGATTACGTCGGTGTTCTCGAGTTAAAGGGAGGACCCAGTGTGGCCGGTATGAAAACAAGCCAAAACTCCTCATTCGTCGGTAAACACTTCGCATGCCAATAGGTCTTCCGTGTTCTGCAAACCATTAATTTGCAATGGTCCTGGTAGTAGAGAAACGGTCCCTTAAGGCCAATAATCTTAGGCGGAGATCTTCACGGTCTGTTGTTCTACGTCGGCGTCCAGTGCCCCTTGCTCTTTGCGTACGGCCTTCTCGAAGCCATGGCTGACAACACCTAACCACAGTGTCTGCACTTCTTTGCACTCTAACTGCAATTGCCCGAAAAGAAAGTCCAGCTTCCCGAAGTCCCACTATACGGCACCTATCAAACTCACTAAGTTGACGAAATCGCACAGGTCTCCGTACTCTAGGCATCGTAACCGATCGTAAAGGATGTCAAGAACCAAAATCCGCCAACGTTGATTCTTTACTGCGGCTGAAATATTCATTTTTAGAGCGTTAGTGAATTAAAAAAAAGCAGTATAAAAACCGGAATGTCCAACTGATAAGGCTGACAATTTTTTCACTTGTTATTTATAGTAAGATAAATACGTTCACCAACTTTTATTAAAATAAAACCATTTAAACTGGGTGTTCGGATTTATATGTCACTTAGTATATACAGGGTGACTTCGAAGTTGAGTCATTTATTTTAACAGTGAGTAGATCTGATCAAAAGGAATGTTTTTTTCCTTTACCATTTTTCTGGTAAAATTAAAGTTACAAAGTTATAGCCCTTTGGAGGTTTGAGTACCGCCGCCCTGTCTCAATAATATTATGTGCTCGTGTTTGGCAACAACGGATATAATCCCCTTATCGGTTCATCGCATCGGAAACAAAAAAGCGAAAGAATTTGGAACGATGTTTTTACAATTATTTATTCAGTATACAGTAAGTGTCAGTGAATAGTTGTATCTGTTGCGTGGCTCAAACGAAATAAAAAATGGCACATGTTATGCGGATCGGTTTCCCAATCGAGTGCAACCAACCCTCGTGCCTTTGTTAATGTAGTACAACGGGCTCGTGAATCAGGTGACTTAAGACCTCACAGGGGACCTCACGATCAAATACAGGTCCGCACTGAAATACTTGTCGGGAGGATACTTTATAAAACAAGGTAAAAATTTTTTTTAATTTTTTTTTTATTTTTACACACATATTTTGGTTTATATTCCTTCTACAATCATTATCTGAAAATTAATGACTCAACTTCAAAGTCACCCTGTATATCGATGATATCATAATTCCATGGTCGACGATCGCGGAGGGACTAGAACGTTTGGCAAAAGTATTAATTCAACTCCGTACACATAACCTTACCTTGAAAATCAGTAAATGTGTATTTCTGGAAACGACAATAGAATGACTTTTGAGAGAATCTAGTGCAGAAGGGGCAAAACCTGGAAAAAGGAATATCCAGGCAATTCTAGATATGCCGTATTACGTCAATTTCTCATGCTAGCCAGTTATTTCCGGAAATTGTTAAGTATTTTGACAAGATTAACCCGTGAAAATGAAATTTGGACCTGCACCACAAAAAAAAAGTTTTTCATCAAATTCAACAGGCAGTAACATCATGCCCGATTCTTGCAATATGTAACCCCAAAAGGACAGAACTTGATACAGACGCAAGCTCTATTAGCCTAGGATCAATGTTACTTCAATTGAGTCTGAAGGTAAATCACATGTCCTTTCCTACTTTAGCAAACAAACAAAATGTGATCAACGATAATATCACGCATACGAACTCGAGACTATGGCTGTAGTTTACGCTCTAAAATATTTTCGAGTGTATTTGCTGGGGATAAATTTCAAAATAGTGATTGTAATGCCTTGCGAAAGACCCTGTCAAAAACATATTTAATTCCTCGTATTGGAAGATGGTGGCTGGAGGTTCAAGAATATTTTCTTGAAATTGAGTATAGAGCTGGTAAAAAAACTACTCATGTAGACGGGCTCGGTAGAAACTTTCTGGCAGTACAATCACAGGATGAACAGATTTGTAGAATCCGAAGTATACTAACGAGTAAAGTAAGGAATAATGAGACGTGGTTATATGTTGATCAATACGAATTGAAAAACGATAAATTGTATAGGAAAGTAGACGATGGAACCAAAGCATGGGCTGTCCCACGTGCAGCACGTATACAAGTTTGTTGTTTATGTAACGCCGATTCTGGACACTGTGGAGTAGAAAAAGTTTTGCAACGAATTAGAAGAAACTACTGGTTTGCGAAAATGAGAAAATTGTAACGAAATATGTTAACGCTTGCCTAAATTGTATGTACTGCGAGAAATGCTCCTCAAAACGACAATGCAAATTAAATCCAATAGAAAAACACCCAATTCCCTTCCATACAATACACGTAGATCATGTTGGACCATTTGT